AGCAACAGCAATAGTTGATGCTGTGCTGCGCTCTGCTCTGCTCTGCTCTGCTCTGCTCTGCTCTGCTCTGCTATGCTGCGCTGTGCTATGCTAAGCAATGCTATGCTGGGCTAGGCTAGGCTAGGCTAGGCTACGCTTGGCTATGATATGCTATGCTGTGCTGTGCTAGTGCTGCGCTATGCTGCGCTAAGCTAAGGTAAGGTAAGGTAAGCTAAGCCATGCTAAGCTACGCTAAGCTAGGCTAGGCTAGGCGAAGCTAAGCTAAGCCAAGCTAATCTAAGCTAAGCTAAGCTAAGATGAGATAAGCTAAGCTAAGCGTAAGCTTAGCTTAGCTAAGCCATGCTGGGTGAACCCAGGGGGCGTAACTGGGGGAACCGCGGGGCGGATCCTGGGGGAACCGCCCGGGGCGAGGAACACTGCCCGGCCCCTTTAAGACAGAGGGTAAGAACCCTCTAGGCAGAGCCTGGGTAGGGAACAAAATCCGCATCGCGGTATTCCACTTCAGCCACGCACCCAGGGACAGTGAAGGACCGTTCGGTTCAGCCCCCTCACTCTGATGAATAAATTGCCTTGTTCGTATAGGACCATCATTGACTGAGGCATCGGACGGACAGAAACACCTTTCGTGGGCTCCTGGGAGGCACGGCGGAGGTGAGGTCAGCGCAGATCCATCTTAGACCTGGCGGCGTACTTGGTGGTGGCTCCGACTTGCGCAACCGTCGCCACTTTCGTGGGTTCCTGGGAGGCACGGCGCAGCGCAGGGCTCCCACATGGTGCGTGCCCACATGACTCGTGGCGCCGTCGCGTCATTTATCGCGCGGCGCTGTTGCATCAGAGCGCAGAGCGCCGATACGTCACGTAGCGAATTGCGCTGTCCACAGTGGCCCATTCCTGCGCAGGTGTGCGACGCGCGTGGTCCGGCATAGTTAGTCGAATAATTCCCGAGTGTTGCATATCTCGCAGTATGTTCTTTTGTATGGAGCGTTCATGTACATAGTCGCCTTGCGTGGACAAGGGGTTGTGTGCGTCTCAGGTAATGAAAAGAATGAGGGGCCTGCACACTGCAGGCAGCATGCCGCCCCCCCCCGCCGTCCTTGGTTTTTGACAGGGATGGTGGGCCTGCACGCGCCAAGCAGTATGCCCTCCCCCGTGCCGTCCCAGCCAAAAACTCATGCAAAGAGATCGCTGGGCGCCCGCGCATGATCCAGATCGTGCCGCAAAGTGCATTTCGTATGGTTTTTGTTGCAAAGGATGGCGGGGGGGGGGGGGGGGCGTTGCGCATAGCAGGCCGTATGCCAGCCCCTCCGCCGACCTGGTCAAAAACCAGAGCAAAGTGATTGCGGGGCGCCCGCGCATGATCCAGAAGTTGGTGCAAAGTGCATTTGGGCGGGTGGCATTGAACACTGAAGGCAGTATGCTGGCCCCCCCCACCCTTCCTGTCAAAAAACATACGCAAAATGATCGTGGGTTGCCCGCGCATGATCCACATTTTGGTGCAAAGTGCAGCTTCCTTTAAAACCAATGCAGAGTGGTTGCGGGGCGTCCGCACATTTCAATTACACACTGATGCAATTGCGTTTCGTATTGTTTTTACGCAAGGGATGGTGGGGGGTCCCGGGACTGTCGCCGGTCGGGCGGGGGAGGGGGAGGGGATGTTGACTCATAAGGAAAATTGGTAAAACCCTCCACCGACCAGGGGACAGGTTTTGGAAGAGGGAAGGAAACAACTTGTTATACCACCTCCGCATTTTTCACGCGCCAATTTGTCGACGCGCGAGCGCACGAAAATGTCGCTCTTGCTTCGGCGCCGTGCTGATTTCTCCTGAACGTGGCGTTCCTGCGTCGGCGCGGTCTATATTTTCACTCGCCAAGTTGGGGCCGCGCGCGAGCCGGCGACTTGTCGCCCTCGCCCGAATTCCGTGCATATTTCGCTTGGAATTGGCGTTCCCGCGTGGGTGCGGCGAATGTCTCGCTCAACGAATCGCATGAAAGCGGCAATGGCAGCAGGGCCGTGCGAGAGCGGGTGAAATGCTGTCCTCCCCCAAGCGCCACGCCTGTTTAGTGTGAAAGTGGCAGTGCTGTTTCGGCGCAGCGCATTCTTCGTTTTCCCCGCTCATCGGAAGTCTCGCCGCTCCCGCCCCTGCGCGGCCCGCGTTGTCTCCGCTTCACCAGGTCGTCGGAAGAGGGACCGCGCGCGAGCGCCTTTCGTTCGCTAGGTGGTAACGCGCTAAAATTATAGCATCAAGTTCTTCGACGCTTGATTCGCATGTTTGGGGAGGGAAGGTTGGCATGGACGGAGCTCTGTGATCGTTCGCTCTGGCAACTTGAGTCAACCCCAATCTCTTTCCGCTTCTCCCCCAAATCTAACACACTGGGGGCGTCGGAATTTCCCAGGCGATCCACAGAATGTGGCACCGCCGAGCTGTTTCGGCGAGCCCAGGCCATAGCCAATATTCGAATGAGGGAGGGAGGGAGGGGGAGAGAAACGTCGATAGCAGCAAAGACGTGCAGTGTCGTGGTGGTGCAACATGTTGTGTGCCTGTGCGTGTGTACAGTAACTCTGTTTTTATCGGTGAGTGTTCGTGTTTTTTTTTGCTCCGACTATCCCTACCACATCTGTGCAAGGCTAGTCTTTCTTCCGTCACGGCCCTCCCCGTTCTGCTGCTGTTGTGTCTCCTCCGGCTCCTCTTTTCTCTTCCTTCACCTTCTGCTGCTCCTGCTCGTGGTCCCGCTTCGTGCTCCGGCGCTTGGTCGTCTTCCTCTCCCTGCCCCTCTTCCGCCCCCCATGTGCCTTCTCTCCTTCCTCCTCCTTCCCTGCCCTTCTTTCTTTTTCTCGTCTGACTCCTCTTCCCCTCTGCAAGACAAGTGTACGCTCCCCCCTCCGCGGCCTGTATGTGGCTGAAGATGTCAACGTGAGGCTTGAGCCAGCTTGGTTCCTTTGTCTCGGCTGCTGAGCTGTGTATGTTGAGTCTGCAAGAGCCCTCGTCCATGATTCCAGACGCTGCCAGCCTCAGCCCTAGCGGGTCATATGTGCACAATTTGCACATTGGCCCCGCTTGCACTCTTCGCGCCGGGTCACGCCTTGTCAAGGGGCGTGAACTTTGCTAAGTTGAGTTGAGCCCGCAGGCCGCTCGCAATGCCAGAGTTGCCATGGCATGGCACATTGAGCAAGACCATACAAGCTGGGAGCCTCAGCGATCAATATCGCTTTCCTCAAGTGGCTTCATTCAGGGAATTCTTCACACAGTACTGGCACCGTGGGGTTCTTAGTACTCCGTTGAATAATTGGGCGCGTTTCTACGGGTGCCTCGTGGGCGCCTCGTCGGCACCTCGTGAATGCCCCCTCACGCTGGCTGCCACATCGATTCTCTTTTCTACAAAGGAGATAGGTTCTACCACCCTCCCCCCCCCGGACATATCGACTCCCCAGGAACCGATGCAAAGCACAGATGATTCTGACACAATGTCCATCCTACCTGTGAATTCATATTACCGCGGCCAGGCCGGTATCGGTCCCCCCTCGGTTCCCTGGCAAAAAATTCAATACGGTGACATTTCCTGTTCTAACATAACACTTTTTCGCGAATCCTTTTTGTAAAAAATACCATGCGGGGCACACGCGCACGGCCGCTGCACGCGCATGTCGAAATCTTTTCAAACACACGTTTTTTTGAACAATTTCAACATCCCGCTTCAAGAAATCCTGTGAAAACATACGACTTTCTCCCACAAATTCTGAAACATCTGCCCGCGCGCTCTTGCCGAATCCTCCAAAAACCAATGGTTTTTCAATATTCCTGTCAAATCGGGCTTCTTGGGCAACTTTTGCGCGCACACCGATCTCATTCAACAAAGGTCGCGCGCCTGCCAGGGCCACAATCCCTTGCGACAAATATTATGCGGGGCACATGCGCCCGGCCGCCGCGCGCGCAGGTAGAAATCCTTCCAAACAGATTTTGGTTTCAACAATTGCAAGACCGAGCTTTATGAAATCACACGAATCGTAACATGCATCCTCGAAAACAATCTGCAACAACATCAAACATTCTACCCGCGCGCGTTTTCCGAATCCTAAAAACCCAACGGTTTTTCAACATTTCTGTCACGCGAGCAACTTATGCGTGCGCGGCGAACGCCTTCAACATCGGTCGTGCGCCTGCCAGGGCCGCAATCCCTTGTTAAAAATACCATACGGGGCACATGCGCGCGGCCGCCGCGCGCGCATGTCGAAGTCCTTCCAAACACACGTTTTTTTTCCTACCATTTCAAGACCGAGCTTCATGAAATCACACGAATCGTACCATACCAAACTGCAAAAGCATTAAACATTATACCCGCGCGCGCTTTCCGAACCCTAAGAAACAATGTTTTTGTTCAGCATTCCTGTCATGCGAAAAGTCGTTGCGCGCGCGTCGAACTCCTTTCACATCGGTCGGTCGCTTGCCAGGGTTACAATCCCTTCTAAAAAACACCCTGCGGGGCACATGCGCGCGGCCGCCACGCGCAAATGCCAGCATCCTCGTCGTCGTCGTCGTCGGCACCCTCGTCATCGTTGTCGTTGTCGTCGTCGTCGTCGCCGTCGACGCCGTCGTCGTCGTTCCCGTTGTCGTCCTCACTCCTCCCTCGTCGTCGGCGTCGTCGGTGTCGTCATCGTCGTCGTCGTCGGCGTCGGCGTCGTCGTCGTCGTCGACATCGTCGTTGTCGTCGGCGTCGGCGGCGTCGTCGTCGTCGTCGCTGTCGTCGTCGTCGAAGTCGTCGGAGTCGTCGTCGGTGTCGTCGTAGTCGTCGGCGTTGTCGTCGTCGTCATCGTTGTCGCTGTCGTCGTCGGCGTCGGTGTCGTTGCCAAGTGTCATTTGGTACCTACCGTCACGGTCTTAAGAGGTCTTGCGACCAAGTTGCGGGTGGGAGGGTTAGAAGATGTTTGCATGAGCAGTGGAGAGGACAATTTCAAGACAGCCAAAGGGACTTACACCCTATATATATATATATATATATTGCACGACATCAATCGCAGCATATGTGCATATATTGCGCCGCATAGTCTGCCCGTCATTTGTACATTTTCTCTTTTCGAGAGAATAGCCTCTACCATCGCCCCACGCGCCCAGGGCTGACCGCTCCCCCTTCTCGACTGCAACTTACATATGACTCTGCCTCATTCATTCCAAGTGATGCCCGCATCGACCCTCCCCTCTTATACCTGCCAAAAACATACAATGCGCGCACAATCGCTCATGTCAGTCCATACGTTTTAAAACATGCTTTGCGTATGCGTACGCGTCACAAAGTCCACGCGCGCGCCGCCGCGCGAACGACATACTACCACGAACAAGTTTTGGTTTTCCAGCAAAAGAGTTGCCATAATTCTGTGCGCGCATTCGCTGAAGTCTAAGACAACAGATGTTCCAAGCATCTTGTTGTGGCAGCAGCAGGGGTAGGAAATGTTTCTCCCTTGAGCCAACGTGGGCGAATCACGAATGAATTTAGACAACAATCCCAAACGCTTAACCTGTTCACAAATTCTGCTCACCAGCTTCACTGGTGGAACTTTCTCTCAGGCTTAGCAGCCCAAGCCGCCGGCCCCTGTGGCCGCCAGCAATCAGTCACTCCTGTAGTGATTGAGCCCTTGGAGAAGAACACTGGGGAAAACGCACTCGTCAGTGAAAAAGAGAGGATGCTTGGAGGAATGAAAAAGATGGAAATTGAGGGGAGGAACAAACGCCACCACCACCACCGGGGTCTCTGGAAATCTGGGCCTGCAACTCCTCCCGAGTGATCATGATGTCCAACTCCCTCTTGGATGCTGACTGGGTCCTGCTTTGAGCCCAGGTTGCTCTCGTCGTCGCTCAACCTCTCCGGACTCGTCTATCAGAACATGGCGCCCGCTGACCACCAGGTCGAACAGTGCAGCGTTGCACTTCGACACGTCGTCCTTGGTCAGCGCATCCACGGGCGTGCGACCATGTGGGATCCACCGGACCCGTCCCTTGGCCCTCTCGAGGGCCTCGCTGATTATGGCCAGGTCGATGGCCGTTCAGCGGTCCCGGGCCGCGGCGTTCCCTTCCTTCAGCATAGTGTCATATATGGATTTCGCGTGCACGACATGAACTTGCTCTTCCCGATTCCCAAGACGGCAATCCCGGCGAAGGACCGCGGTAGGTCCTGACCCCCGGTGGTAATCCTGGAGGGCGAAGTCCTGGCATATGATGTCTTGGTTAAGTATTTGTAAGTATTCTACTTCTGCGACAACAGCGAACAGGGCTTGAGTCTCGCCTGCCAGAGTAAATGGTACTTTCTGGCGCAGCTTCGAGCTGCGCCACCCCGAGGTGGACGCCTTGACCGACCAGGTATTAAGCGCGTTCCTGTCTGTTGCGCGCACCATCCATGTCCCTTGCGTCGGATCTTCGGGTAGGCCCCGATCGTCCGTCAAGTGGTCGACCGTTCCAACACCTCCAGCGCCAGAGAATGAGATAAAGGCCATGCTCTCTGGGTCTAGCTTCCAAATGGTAAGTCTCCTGGAAGCTGTTGTGCGCAAGTGCTTCACGAGTTTGTTGGCGAAAGAAACGTCTCCTGTGAAAGGGTGCCTTCAGCCGGCTCGCCAGTGTGCTGACGACCCCAGCTGCTTCTGGGCGCGTCTCTCGCCCGACCCAGTTAAATTTGCAACTGGTGAGCGCAAAGCCTTAAGCTCATTCGGCTCCAAGGGTGAATCTCGCTTGGCCAGTCGGTCCCCAGCCATGGCCAGGGGGGCCTGATCGCCTCAAATACATTTCCTGATCAAGGAGGGCACGTCGAGGACTGATGCTTATGCGTCGGCCTGCGAAGTCGACTGAACCCGAGTGGCCGCATCGGCACTTGCCGAGCTTGTAACTCGAGAAGTTTCCTCAACCAAGACCTTCGGCGCCCAGGCTCCGCGGCCTCACCGCGGCGCACGGGCCGCCAGCGGTGCACCCACGCCGCTGAGCCAACAGTGCCGAGGGGAGCTGGAGGCACTCGGTTTCCGCGCTGGGCTGCGCGGCGCGCGGAGGGCCCGCCACGCCGGGCAGTGCACGCCCAGGCTGTGCGCGGCTTGGGCCTGCGCCCTGAGGGCAGCAGCCCACGGCTCCCCTCCCAGCGCTCTCCAGAACAAGCTGGACGCGCTCAGCAGAGAAGCGAATGCGGGGACAGAGAAGGCGGCGAGAGCTGGCGAAAGCCTGGCGGAAGACCCACCGCGGCACGACGACGCCATCGAGCGCGGCCAGACCCCCCCCCCCCCCTTTTCGACCCTTTCGACCACTTCCCGCAGCAGAGGCCAGGGCCCAGCTTAAAGGGCAAGGCGGGCTCGCGCTCAAAGGGCGCGATCGAGGACGCGGAGGCGGAGGAGGACCTGGCGGGCCCGTGCTCAAAGGGCGCGGGCGAAGCTGCGGAGGTGAGCGAGTGCACGCAGACGGGGGAGGTCAGCGGCGAGAGAGTGGGCGCAGCCAAGGACGACGTCCCAGACGGCGAGCGCGGCAAGCGTGGCCGCAAGAGGGGGGGTTCGAAGCGCAACGAAGCCTCGAAGAGGGAAGCTGAGGGAGGCCAAGCGGGACGCGACAATATCAAGCTCACCCCAGGACCCGGGGGCCAGCCGGGCGACGGCGACAGTGGAGACGAGGAAGACGAGGACGAGGACGAAGAGGAGGAAGAGCCAAGACGCCCTAAGAAGTCCCGGGACGAGGAAGAGGAGGGCAGCGCTTCGTCGCCGGCCCGCGCCCCCCTCCCGCAGAGGGGCGACCGCTGGATGGACATACCGACGGTGCCCACGACGGTGATCGACATCAAGATGATGCTGATGACCTCGCGCCCGGTGAGAGACGACCTCATTCGCGACGTCAGGATGCACATCCTCTTTTACACCGAGGATGAGGAGACCGCGGGCGCGGACGGACCCCCGCTGGAGGACGAGACACGAGTGTTGGCTGGCGATGCCCTCATCCTCTGGAACGGCGCGGAGGGCCCCGAGAACTCGGCGAGCTGGGCCCCGCGCCGGACGCGCGACCAGAAGAAAGAAGAAGCCTCAGGCCCCCTGGTCGGAGACAGGCGATCGAGGCACTCAGCGGCGCGTCGCGCTCAGGATAGCGGACCGCGCAGCGTCCCGCCAGATGAGCAGGGGCCCCCTGACCAAGCCCACGTTCAGCAGCGCCGCGGCCGCGGCGACGGCCGTCTCAGCGGCCG